CCCCCCTCTTGAAAAGGACTTGTCCTCAAGTCCGGACCATCTGAAACATAAGGAAGTATGTCAGCAACATTAAAACTAGAACTTACTGAATACTTACCTTGCAAATCAAGTTTATAGGCGTTGTCATTGATCCGTTCTAAGACTTTGAAGGGACCATCCACACGGGGTAGTAACTTGGACTTTCTTTCTTCAGGGAACCGATCCTTTCTTAGATAGACCCACACTAGATTGCCTGGTTCGAACGTTCTCTTGTTCCGGCCTTTGTTAGCGTGTTTCTTGTACAGCTCCGTCTTTCGTTCAATGTTTTGTTTGGCCTTTTCATGCATCTGTTTCACAAACTCGGCCCTTTTCTTACCGTCCATGCTCACATGTTCAGACAATGGTAAAGGAAAAAGATCAAGTGGAGTAAGGGGGTTAAAGCCATAAACCAATTGAAACGGAGAAAACAAAGTGGTAGAATGCACCGAATGGTTATATGCAAATTCTACGTGTGGCAAACAGTCTTCCCAAGTTCGGAGGTTCTTTTTAATGACAGACCTAAGCAAGGCCGACAAAGTCCTATTCACTACCTCGGTTTGTCCATTGGTTTGAAGATGACAGGTGGTGGAAAAACAAAGCTTAGTACCTAATTTGGACCACAGAGACTTCCAAAAGTAACTGAGAAACTTGGTATCCCTATCAGAGACTATGGTTCTAGGTACGCCATGCAACCTAACAATTTCCCTAAAGAACAGATTGGCTACATTAGATGCATCATCTGTTTTATGACAAGGGATAAAGTGGGCCATTTTTGAAAATCGATCTACAACCACAAAGACCGAGTCTCGTCCTTTCCTAGTTCTTGGTAAACCTAAGACAAAATGCATAGAAATGTCGGATCAAGGTGAACTAGGGATGGGTAATGACGTGTACATACCTGGTGGCTGGCTTTTGGATTTTGCATACTTACAAGTGACACACCGGCTACAGATTCTCTCCACGTCCCTTTTCATGTGTGGCCAGAAGAAATGGTCTTGGCCACGCTGAGGGTCTTAGTAACTCCGAAGTGTCCCATTAAGCCGCCGCCGTGTGCTTCCCTAACCAAAAGATCACGAAGTGAAACATTAGGTATACACAATCGGTTCTCATAAAACAGGAAATCATAATTTTTAAAGCATTTGCCATTAGCAAATTTAGAAAAAGATTGATAAGCTTCCTGGAAGTCAGGGTCAGAAGCATAAACTTCTTTTATCATCTCAAAGCCGAGTATCTTGACGTCCAAAGTGAAGATCAGGCTGTATCGTCGAGACAAAGCGTCGGCCACGATGTTGTCCGTTCCCTTCTTGTATTGAATGACGTAAGGGAAGGTCTTAATGAACTCAACCCAACTCGCGTGCCGCTTGTTCATCTTTTGTTGCCCCTTAAGATGTTTTAACGAATCGTGATCTGTGTTGATCACAAACTCTTTTGGCCAGAGATAATGTTGCCAAGTCTGTAGAGCGTGAACGAGGGCATAGAGTTCCTTGTCATATGTGGAGTAATTTAATGTGGCTCCACCCAACTTTTCACTGAAATAAGCTATGAACCGCTTCTCCTGAGTCAAGACCGCACCGATACCTATACTTGAAGCATAACACTTGATTTCAAAAGTTTTAGTAAAATCAGGTAAACAGAGTAAAGGGGCGTGAGTAAGCCTGTCTTTTAGGAGCTGGAAAGCTTCTTCCTGTGCCGCGTCCCATTTAAAGCCAACATCCTTCTTTATGACCTCGGTAAGTGGGGCAGCGAGTGTGCTGAAGTTCTGACGAACCGTCGATAAAACTCGGCTAAGCCGTGGAAGCTCCTGACCTCACCAACGGTCTTAGGACTAGGCCACTCCTGAATCGCTTTGATCTTATCTTCATCCACCTGGATTCCATTAGCTCCTACAACAAAACCTAGAAAAACGACACTATCTGCACAGAAGGTACACTTTTTCAGGTTACCAAAGAGTCGTTCCTTCCTAAGTACTTCTAGGACCATTCACAAGTGTTCTAAATGATCGGCCAAGGTTTTGCTGTAAACCAAGATGTCGTCAAAGTATATGAAAACAAAGACACCTATAAAAGATCGCAAGACATAGTTCATGAGCCACATAAAGGTGCTGGGCGCGTTGGTCAAACCAAAAGGTATGACAAGCCACTCGTATAAACCGTGTTTGGTCTTAAAGGCTGTCTTCCACTCGTCTCCCTCCTTCATCCGTATTTGATGATATCCGCTTTTTAGATCTATCTTAGAAAACAGGCAAAACCCGTGAAGTTCATCAAGCATATCATCCAAACGGCAGTCAACGCACATGCTCCATGATCCGTCCTTCTTGGGCACGAGCAAGACCGGGACTGCGCAAGGACTCATGCTCTCCCGAATATGTCCTTTCTCCATGAGCTCCCCGACCTGTCTTTGTAGCTCCATGGTTTTGACAGGGTTAGTTCGGTACGCGGGTCGGTTAGGCAGAGAAACACCGAGAATAAAATCGATCTGATGCTCAATCCCGCGTATAGGTGGTAAACCGCTGGGGATCTCATCCGAGAAGACATCTTTAAATTCTTGCAAAAGGGGTAAGACACTGCTCGGAAATTCCGGCTGTGGGTTAGTGAGGCTAGCCAAAGCAGATTTAAACATGAGTAGAATGAGAGATTGTTTGGTGTGTACCGCGTGCTTAAGCTCACAAAATCTTATGAAAAGGGTTTCTTTGCTTACGGGTGTTCTCTCAAAGGCCTTTTCTGGGGGTTCTCTCAGACTCTCATTTTTTTTGGTGGTGTTTGGAGATTCGCTCGCAACACTCTTTTCTTTGTTACGTTGCTCAAGTTTCATCTGATCCAGATATACATCTCGTGGTGAGAAAGGTGCCAGGGTGATCTTTTGGCCATGGTGCTCAAACGTGTGCTTGTTGGTAAATCCGTCATGAATGGCCTTCTTATCAAACTGCCATGGACGACCTAAGAGAATATGACCTGCTTCCATCGGAAACACGTCGCAAACGACCTGGTCTTCATATTGGCCAATGGACAAGGGTACCGACACCTGTTTGGTCACCTTTAGCTGTCTTTGATTGTTTAATCATCGGAGGCTGTAAGGCTGAGGGTGCTTGCGTGTTTCCAGACCGAGCTTCTCCACCATAGTGGTACTAGTTACATTCGTACAGCTCCCACCATCGATGATAAGGCTGCAAAACTTTCCCAACACATGGCACCGGGTGTGGAACAGATTCTCCCATTGGTCTTCCTCTTTGACCGGTTCCTGGGCTAGTAGAACTCGCCTTGCAACTAACAGCTCTCCCTTGATAGACAAGACTTTATGGGTCTCAAGGCTATCAATCCCCTTTGTCAATGTAGCACAAAGAGGTTATCAATCCAAGAATGTGGTGATAGACACTAAGCTATGTGATCAGTTTCTCAATTCAAGCAAGCAAGAGTGGTTTTGATTGATTAATGATTTCTAAATACTTGAAACAGGATTAATGACTAAAGAAGAACTAAACAATGACAAGTGATATGAATATGATGTGATGGAGGCATGAGATTCTAGACATGATAGTTGGCTAGGGTGCTTTGGTGCTAAACTAGGAATGCTAATGACAATGATGAGACATGATTCAAATGATTAAGAACTCTAATCTAGATTAATCCTCTCATGAAGGCATTAACCCCTACACTAATCCATTTTCAAACCAAATCATCATTTGTGAAATATGAATCAGTGAGCATTAATAAACAGTTCTAGAAGATCATTCAAGAAAATAACAATACATCATCATGCAGCTAATGCTTAAACCTCTAATACAGCTCTTTCAGGAATTTCATCAAACACTTTTGGTGCATGAAATTCTCAGAATCTAGATCTCAAGTGATGTGCAAGGATCTAGCCTAGAGAACAGCTGTTTAGAGAGATGAATCAATGAATCTAGCCCTAAGCACTCCTAATCTAACACTTTAGCACCCTAACCTATACATCTAGAACCTCATTAAGGTGACTACTCACTAATCACACTAATCTCTCTTAAACCTTTGCAAGTTGAGAAGATTGGCATGATTAATGATGAGAAATGGAGATGGAGATGATAGATTAAGAAGGAAACAGCTTTAAACACAAAGATCTCTCAAACTCTCTTGATTAAACACTTAAAAATCGATATTTTTCTTCTTAAGTGGAGTTTTTCACTACAAGAAATATGGGTATTGGTAGCAGTTTACGGTAGCACGAATTCACAAACTGCTACGAAAAGTAGTTTAATCCGATACCCGACCTTTTTGTAGCGTTTTATAAACGCTGGTGAACAATTTCATTAACCCGGGAAAAAAAAGAATAAAAAATAAATGAGCGGTAAAGTGTCGGGGCATTTTAGCTCTTTAGCTTATGTTTTTTTTTTCAGCTTTAATTTCCTCATCGACGAGGCATGCAACAGTGAACCCTCAGCTCTCTCCGACATTTCTCGAAGATCTTCCTGGCTGTGGTGTTGTCGTCGCCGGCGGTCAGATTCCAGGTGAAACCCAATTTCGATTTTGTCTGTCTGAACCCTAGATTCAGTTTTTAGAATTTCGCCGATTAATTTTTTTAAGTTCTTTCCACTTTTACAATTTTATGATTTCGATTTGAGGACATGAGGATTAGAGATTATCAATTCCAATTTCGATTTGAGGACATGTGGATTAGAGATTTTCAATTCAGTTTCGGATTCGATATCGTGAGGACTGAAGTTTGATTCTTTTTTTGTGGCGATTACGATTTGATTTTTTGTTTGTTCTGTTTTGATTTGCAGGTTTGAGCTTTTCTGTAGAGTGAAGTCGTTGATTGAGGTGATTTTTGTTGACAATTTTTATGTTGTACTGTTGATTGTTTTTGATTGTGTGAGTTTTAGTATCTGAATGTTTGACGATTGAATAGTTTATTGCTGCTTATGTGAATGACAATGTGTGTGTTTGGTGTTTGACATACTCTTATGTTTTTTGTTTGTTGGTTATGGGTGAGAAACTTAGAGCATAAAAATGGTGGAAAAATCATGGGTTCATCTAAACAGGTAATGAAAAACAAAATATATTATAGTTACTGATTTTTGTGTGATGAAAAAAGTTTAATTTATGCTTTCATGTGTGATTCAGAGCTGATCCTGGTTATGAGAGAGGTGCGAGGGAGTTTGTGAGATGTGTTGGTGCAGATTTAGCAGAGTCTGAGCTGATCATTTGCCCATGCGCAGACTGTCGCAATGTTGATCGTCACTCAGCCGTTGTTGTTGTTGATCATCTAGTGACTAGAGGAATGGATTTGAGTTACAAGATGCGTGAGGATTGGTATCATCATGGAGAAGTATTATCAGGGACTGGCTGTAGAAGCGATGCAAGTGATAGGAACATAGAGATTTTAGGGTTATATCAAGCAGCTGAGTTTCTCGATGAAGATTTTGTTAGGCAGCGTAATGTAAGTGAGGTTGCTGAAGGTGAAAATAAGGAAGAAGATGAGTTTCTTGCTAAGCTAGCAGATGCAGAAACACCTCTGTATCCAAGTTGTACTAGCCACAGCAAGCTCTCGGCGATAGTTTCCCTCTTTAGGATAAAGACAGAGAGTGGTTGGTCTGACAGAAGCTTCGATAAGTTGCTTGAGACTTTACGACAGATGCTACCAGAGGATAATGTCTTGCACACATCGTTGTATGAAGTGAAAAGGTTTCTGAAATCCTTTGATATGGGTTATGAGAAGATAGACGCTTGTGTGAACGATTGTTGTTTGTTCAGGAAGGAGCTTGAGAAGCTAGACAACTGTCCGAAATGCAATGCTTCAAGATGGAAGATTAACAAGCGCACAGGTGATGTGAGGAAAGGTATTCCAGAGAAAGTTCTGAGGTATTTTCCGATAATCCCACGGCTGAAGAGGATGTTCAGATCAGAGGACATGGCGAAGGACTTAAGGTGGCATTTTAGTAATAAGAGCACTGATGGAAAAAGCAGGCATCCGGTAGATTCTGTAACTTGGGATCAGATGAATGACAAGTACCCGTCCTTTGCTGCTGAAGAACGGAATCTCAGGCTAGGGCTGTCGACTGATGGGTTCAATCCTTTTAGCATGAAGAATGTGAACTACAGTTGTTGGCCTGTTTTGCTTGTCAACTACAACATGTCACCTGAGAAGTGTATGAAGGAGGAGAACATCATGTTGTCATTGCTGATTCCTGGTCCAACCCAACTTGGAAACAATATTGATGTGTATTTAGAACCACTTATAGAGGATCTAAACCTGTTGTGGGAGAAAGGAGTGGTCACGTACGATGCATTCAGTCAGACCACTTTCACGCAATGGTTCTATGGACCATTCAGGATTTTCCTGCGTATGGCAATCTTGCAGGGTGTAAGGTAAAAGGCAAAATGGGATGTCCTGTGTGTGGGAAAAACACAGATAGTATCTGGCTGAGTAATTGCAGGAAGCACGTATATATGTCACATCGGAAAGGTCTACCTCCGAGACATGCTTATCGAGGAAAGAAATCATGGTTTGATGGTAAAACCGAGTATGGGAGAAAGGGTAGGATTCTGAGTGGTCGTAACATAAGCCAAATACTCAGAAACTACGAGAATGAATTTGGAAATGTGAAAGTAACTGGAAAGAAGAGGAAGATGAAAGAGGCTGTTGGATCTGAGTCAAATACGGATGATGAATCCAGTGAATCAGAGGAAGAGGAAGAAGCAGTTGATGAGGAGGAGCTATCTAGATGGAAGAAGAGGTCAATATTTTTCAAGTTGCCTTATTGGGAGGTATGTTCCTTCTATATTTGACTTCGTTGTAAGAATTGTTCTATGTCTAGCTTTCTTTGACACTCTTATGTGATTGTTTTGTAAAGGAACTTCCGGTGCGACACAATTTAGACGTGATGCACGTGGAAAGAAATGTTGCTGCAAGCCTTATCGCAACATTGTTGCATTGTGGAAAATCAAAAGATGGTCTTAACGCTAGAAAAGATCTGCAACTGCTTGGCATCAGGAAGGATTTACATCCTCAACCCCGTGGGAAAAGAACTTACCTTCCTCCAGCACCTTGGTCTTTTTCCAGCAAAGAGAAGAAAGTATTCTGCAAGCGTCTCTTTGACTTTAGAGGTCCGGATGGTTACTGCTCAAATATATCAAGGTGTGTGAAGATAGAAGAATGTAAGATATCAGGAATGAAATCACATGATTACCAGGTGTTGATGCAACAGCTTCTGCCGGTTGCGATTAGAGGTATCAACTGAAGCTCTTTTAACTTTGTATATTAGTCCACAATTATATATTTTCACACACTGATCTCCAATGGGTCTTTCTTACAGGGTTATTACCTACAGGTGTTAGAATAGCTATTGGACGCCTGTGTGCTTTCTTCCATCATCTTTGTCAGCGAGTAATTGATAGAGAGAAAATCTCAGTAATGGAAACAGAAATTGTGGAAACTCTCTGCATGTTTGAGAGGTTTTTTCCTCCAAGTTTCTTCGATATAATGGTGCATTTGGTAGTTCATCTAGGCAGGGAAGCTCGGTTATGTGGACCTGTCCAATTCCGTTGGATGTACCCATTTGAGAGGTATAACTTATAGCGTCGAAGTTGTCATCTTATGGAGTCAATAAGAGTCAATAATCATGCTTCTGAAATTTTAATAAATTTTATCTTATATGCAGGTATATGAAAGTGCTGAAAGACTTCATACGAAATCCTGCAAGACCAGAGGGTTGTATTGCGGAGGCGTATCTCGCAGAGGAATGCGTGAGGTTCTGCAATGAGTTCTTGAAAAAGACAA